ATGGTGGCACACGCCAGTAGTCCTGCTACTCGGGAGGCTGCGGCAGGAGAATAACTTGAACCTGGGAGGCAGAGGTTGCAGTGAGCCCAGATCACTTCTCCACACCCCAGCGTGAGCAACAGAATGAGATTCTGTCTTAACAACAACAATAAAAAGGTGCTGGGCACGGTGGCTCACACTTATAATCTCAGCACTTTGGGAGTCCGAAGCAGACTTATCACAAGGTCAGGAGATTGAGAACATCCTGGCTAACAAGGTAAAACTTTGTCTCTACTAAAAATACAAAAAATTAGCCAGGTGCGGTGGCACACACCTGTAATCCCAGCTACTCAGGAGGCTGAGGCTGGAGAATTGCTTGAACTCAGGAGGTGGAGATTGCAGTGAGCCGAGATCATGCCACTGCACTCCAGCCTGGGCAACAGAGTGAGACTCCGTCTCAAAAAAAAAAAAAAAAAAAAACATCCTGGTCAACATGGGGAAACCCCGTCTCTACTAAAAATACAAAAAATTAGCTGGGCATGGTGGCGCTTGCCTGTAATCCCAGCTACTCAGGAGGCTGAGGCAGGAGAATTGCCTGAACCCAGGAGGCGGAGGTTGCGGTGAGCCGAGATCGCGCCATTGCACTCCAGCCTGGGTAACAAGAGCGAAACCCCATCTCAAAAACAACAACAACAACAACAACAAAGTTACCCCAAAAGTCAAGTTAGTGTCTGGCTCTATGGGCTAGAGGAGAGATTGCAGCCAGGAAGGGGCAGGGGTGCATGTGCTGGCAATATCCTGGCGTTCAGTTACCTACACGTGTTTTGTAAGGGCACTGTATTTAAAACTTTCTCCAAAATAAGTAGCACAAAAAGCTGGAGATTCATACTAAAGCAAAGAAACTTCTGGAACGCAGCAGTGACTCCAACAAATAATGGCTTGCAGAAAGGAAAGAGCTGATAAGAAAGTGCATTAAGTCTCTTATTTATATAAGATTAGGCCAGGTGTAGTGGCTCTCACCTGTAATGGCAGTTCTTTGGGAGGCAGAGGCGGGCCGATCATCTGAGGTCAGGAGTTCGAGACCAGCCTGGCCAACATGGCAAAACCCTATTTCTACTAAAAATACAAAAAATTTGCCGGGCATGGTGGTAGGCACCTGTAATCCCAGCTACTCGGGAGGCTGAGGCAGGGAAATTGCCTGAACCTGGGAGGCAGAAGTTGCAGTGAGCTAAGATCGCCCCACTGCACTCCAGCCTGGGTGACAAGGGAAAAACTGTCTCAAAAAATAAAATAAAAAATAAATAAGATTAGCCCTACCTACCAAAGCAAGGACTGCAGTATGGGCAAAACATAACATAAAGCATCTCAATAATTATTATAATTATTACAAATGGAAATGATAGCATTTTGGATTACTGGATTTTTCCATTCTTTTACTTGTTTAATGTGGCTTTTAAAATTAAAAATTCCACCTACACCTTGAATTGTATTTGAACTAGACAGTGCTGCAAAGAAAATGAACCAAGTTGGATTAAGAACTTGGTTCTTAAGATTGGATTAAGACCCATAACTGTTCCTCTCCACAGAAATCTTTAGAAGAAGGCGAAAAGTTTATGCGATCTTGTATATTACAGTTAACAAAAAAGCAAAAAAAATTCATCTACCAAACAGCCTTGCCTAAAAGAAGACCCCAGAGGAGGTATCTACTCTGTGAATTGCCTGTTATATAAAGTTGAAAAGCATAAATATACATGATGCATTTCTTTACAAGGTAGGTGAACGAAGGCAAGAATAACTGAGAACTTAACTTCTCTTCCTAAGCAACATCTCAATACACAACAGACCATAAAGGTTGACATTAATATCAGCCCACAGCATTCAATATAGTAACTCTATTATTAAAACATCTCACGTAGCCTTGCCAAAACAAGGCCTCAAAAAATTAGACAAAAACTCAGAATTGTTCCTCTCCACGGAAATCTTTAGTAAAAGGCGAAAGATTTATGCGATCTGAAGAGAAACCAGAGTATACTTTGCCCCATGCTGTAACTCATTTCTCGGGTAACTGCAACTCCTAACACACTGATGGTATCTATTTATCCCAAGAGTTACTACCTGAGAAAGTTTACACAAAACAATTCTGCATGTAACATTCTCATACTTAGAAAGGTCAAGCAATACAGAAATTTGCTTTTTTTTTTTTTTCCGGAAAAACGATACTGTTTGCAGTGTATTCTGGGTATGTAAATGAGATCTGAATAATCGTCTTTAGACTCCGGAAATACCCTAGCAGTCACACGGTGCTCTTGGGGCAACCTTTAGGAGGCGAAGCGGAGGCTTTGCTGCCCAGGACTTTTTTTTTTTTTTTTTTTGAGACAGGGTCTCACTCTATTATCCAGGCTGGAGCACAGTGGTGCGATCTCGGCTCGCTGCAGCCTCCGTGTCTCGGGTTCAAGCGATTCTCCTGCCGCAGCCTCCTGAGCAGGTGGGATTACAGGAACACACCAACGCACCTGGCTGATTGCCCAGGACTTTAAAACCCGTCTCTAAAGTAAAAATAGGAACATCTTAAAGATTTTTAACTATATTTGGCAAATAATAGTCTATATGCATACATAATTCAAAGAAAAGTAATAAAACACTGATGTCTCCCATCCAGTTCAAAAAGTATATTGTCAACATCTTTGAATCCCTCATTGGCCCATTTCCCCATCACACCCCTCACTCGCTATATGGGTAGTCACTATCTTGAATTTGTATTAACCATTCCTTTGCCCTTAACTGCCCCTCTTACCCCCAACTATTAGAAAACTCCCTTCTAGCAATCGTCTCACCTGTCTCCCAATTAGCTGGGAACACAGGCACGCAAAACCACACCTGGCTAATTTTTTGTATCTTCACTTTCTCCAGCCTGGATGCAGAAGAAGTTTCTTCCTTAGAAAGCCCTGCGGAGTAGGAGTGTGTGCAGTGTGTCGATGTAAGCGCAGTGGTCTGTGCTTAGAGTTGCTTGTGACCACGAGGCCACATTCTGGGGTATTCTCTAATGAAGGTTCTGAGTAGGGAGAGGGGATGGGAGTCTACCTCCTTCCCTTCGGCAGAGTTAAGTCAACGTCCCTCTGCCCTCCCCCAAGCTCCCTGCCAGAGAGGCCTCCAAAGGAGGATCTTGGGGCATTTGAGGCCAGAGACTTAAGCAATTCAGAGAATTCTGGAGGCAAAGGCCTCGGTGTGAACCCCATATTCACCCGTCTGGCTGTGGTATCTTGGGCAAGCATTGCAGCACTCTTAAGTCTCAGTTTCCCTGGGTGTTAAATGGCTTCTGTGCAGTTTTGGAAGAAAACGATTCAAGAGACGGTAGGTAGCATGAATTCCCCAAGGAAGATTAGTAGGCTCAGCCCGCCGAGCTGGGACAAAGACAGGTATGGGGCGGGTCGAGAGGGTGTCCACATTAGTTTCTACCGGGGACTGCGGCGAGGGTGGCTGGCAGCGGCGCGGGAGAAGTTGCCCGGAACACCTTGGCGGCTGCACCTCTTGCGGCTACGGGTGATTCGGCTCTGGGCGTGGCGGGCACAACCCGTACCGCGGAGCGAGCGAGCGGGCGCGGGAAGGGGCGGGCCCTCGGCTGCGCGGGGCGGAGCGCGGCGGCCGGAGGGGAGGTAGGCCGGGCGCGGGAGCGCGTCCGGCGGGCCGGGCAAGGAAAGCGACTTGCGCTGCAGGCGGAAGGCAGGCGGCGCCGAGGGCAGTCGGGCGAGCGGCGGGGCTTCGGCGGCGCGGCGGGAGGCGGGGCAGGAAGGTGCGGGGGCCGAAGCCGCCTCGCGGGTCGCGGAGAGTGGGCTCTTCCCGCCCCAGGCCCCAGCGGAGGACACGTGTCAGCACGTTCGCGCCGTTGCCATTCCATTGTCATTGCCCCTCCCCCAGGCCGGGAACCCTTCCCCCCGACCACCAACCCGGGTCTCATTATCCCTGGGCCCAACCTCCGCGCGGACCCGCGGTGCTTTGCCGCGGCCCAGACCTCGGCCGAGGACCCTCGTCGGCATCCTCTCACCCCTGTCACCTCAGCTCCTTGCCTAGCTCCACCCCAGGCGTGGGAACCCCCGCCCCCGACGGCCCATTGTCCCCGGGCCCAGCCTCCGCGCTGAACGCACGCTCGCCCTCGGCCCTGACTGCCGCGTCTCCCCTGGCAACTCCCTGCGACCAGGGATGCAGCCCTCAGGCTGGGCGGCCTCCAGGGAGGCAGCGGGCCGCGACGTGCTGGCCGCCGACCTCCGGTGCAGCTTCTTCGCCTCGGCCCTGCAGAGCTACAAGCGCGACTCGGTGCTGCGGCCCTTCCCCGCGTCCTACGCGCGCGGCGACTGTAAGGACTTTGAAGCTCTGGTGAGTGTGCTTTGTCCTGGCACTGCCCACTGCGTCCTAGACCTAGTGCCCTGTGGAACCACAGGTAGAGGCAGTTCCATCGGCATTTGTAAACATGGCAGCCCCCAGACTTTCCATTCCCAGCCTGGTCTGGCCTGCCTTACCTTGGAGGTTTCCATGAGCTAAGAACACTCCTAATACGCTCGTGCCAACGCTCACTCCTATGGCACTTGGTGGCTGTTTCTCTCCTGTCAATGACAGATGACCGAAGTGAGGAATAGTTGCAGAGCCCTCCACAGATTTTCTAGCCTGGTCAGCAATACGGTTGTTGTGAATCAGCTGTTTTTCTTAGTCAAAAAGTTACCCATCCTTTTGCAAATAATTACACACCAAAAAGTCACCAAAGCCACCCAGACCTATGTCTTCAGGTGAGGTGATCTATGGACAGTACTTTTATAAACCGTAACATCCAGTACTTATGTGAGCTATTTCTCTGATTCACCAGGCCCTTTTTTTTTGCAGTTCACCTCTGGGCCAGCATTCAAGGTATCAGTTATCTTTATAATCCAAATGTTTGGAATTGCCTAGAAAAATATAACTTACCAAAATCGATTCAATAAAAAGCAGAAAATTGAAATAGCCAGTAGCTGATATTCATTAAAGACACTGAACTCCATGTATCTTTGGAACCTGTCAAGTGTGGTTGTCTCTCTTCCTAGCCATGGAAGAGCATATTCCTGTTTACCAGCAAAGCTGTCACCCTTTAACTGGTATCAGATTCTGACTTGCACAAGTAGCATTCTTTTTTTTTTTTTTTTTTTTGAGACGGAGTTTCGCTCTCGTTACCCAGGCTGGAGTGCAATGGCGCGATCTCGGCTCACCGCAACCTCCGCCTCCTGGGTTCAGGCAATTCTCCTGCCTCAGCCTCCTGAGTAGCTGGGATTACAGGCAGGCGCCACCATGCCCAGCTAATTTTTTGTATTTTTAGTAGAGACGGGGTTTCACCATGTTCATCAGGATGGTCTCGATCTGTTGACCTCGTGATCCACCTACCTCGGCCTCCCAAAGTGCTGGGATTACAGGCTTGAGCCACCGCGCCCGGCCAGTTTTTTTTTTTTTTTTTTTTTTTTTGAGATGGAGTTTGGCTCTCGTTACCCAGGCTGGAGTGCAATGGCGCGATCTCGGCTCACCGCAACCTCCGCCTCCTGGGTTCAGGCAATTCTCCTGCCTCAGCCTCCTGAGTAGCTGGGATTACAGGCACGCGCCACCACGCCCAGCTAGTTTTTTGTATTTTTAGTAGAGACGGGGTTTCACTATGTTGACCAGGATGGTCTCGATCTCTCGACCTCGTGATCCACCCGCCTCGGCCTCCCAAAGTGCTGGGATTACAGGCTGAGCCACCGCGCCCGGCCAAGTAGCATTCTTTACTGTTAAAAACCTGTTGTGTGGAGCAGGAAGGGATGAGGCCAGTCTGTGGAGCACGCAGGGCTACACATGTCCTGCTAAGATGTGGAGATTTTTATCCTTGGGCAGGGGAGGGTATTGGTGAGATCCAGAAAGACACCTGTGGTGCCAGGTTGAGAGAGGGACCTGTTTGGGGTTAGAGGGATCAAACTCATAATGCAGCTTGAAAAAAAAAAAATTGAGATAGCTTCTCCCCAAGGCTGGTGGTGGTTGTCCAGGCTGGTCTTGAACTCCTGGGCGAAAGCTATCCTCCCACCTCAGCCTTCCAAAGTGCTGGGATTACAGGCGTGAGCCACTGTACCTGGCCATAGGATAGCTCTCATTTTTACCAAGAAACATACCTCCAAGTGGACTAGAATGCTCAACTTATTTTCTTTCTGCTGGAAGGTCTTGGCAAACCGAATCAGGTTTGTTTGGTAAATACGGGATACATGCAGAGGGACCTTTGGAATTGTTTTGATCATGCTTTTTAAAATCTTTTTTTTTTTTTTTTTTTTTTTGAGTCTTGCTCTGTCACCCAGGATGGAGTGCAGCGATGTGATCTTGGCTTACTGCAACCTTGGCCTCCTGGGTTCAAGCGATTCTCTTGCCTCAGCCTCGTGAGTAGCTGGGATTACAGATGTGCACCACCCCCCGTACCAGCTAAGTTTTGTATTTTTAGTAGAGACAGGGTTTCTCACCATTTTGGTCAGGCTGGTCTTCAACTCAACCTTGTGATCTGCCTTCCTCATCCTCTCAAAGTGCTGAGATTACAGGCTTGAGCCACCACGCCCCACCTTAAAATCTATTTTTAATTATGCAAGAATGTTTGGATATATTCTCGTTATTAAGAAGTTCAAATGATACCAGTAAAGTAAAAGTGCCCCTAATAGATCTCACTCTATCCCTCACTCCTCTGCAAAGGTATCAGTTGCTCTATTTGGGGAACATCCTCCCCCCACCCCCGCAACCCCCACTCCGCTTGTAATCCCTTAAGAGAGCATCAGCAACATAAGTTTCCCCAGAAAGCCACCTCCTCTGTAGAGACAGACTGCCCCTCCCATGGGGCTTATTTTATCAGTCCCAGACAGTTACCCTTTCTCTTGAGGGAGGCCGAGGCAGGTGGACTGTTTGAGCCCAGCCTGGGCAACTTGGTGAAACGCTGTCTTTACAAAAAAAAAAAAAAAAATTACAAAAAATTAGCCTGTGTGGTGGTGCATGCCTGTAGTCCCAGCTACTTGGGAGGCTGTGGCGGGAGGATCACCTGAGCCAGGAGGTCAAGGCTGTAGTGGGCCCTGATCGTGCCACTGCACTCCATTCTGGGTAACCAGGTGAGACCCTGTCTCAAAAAAGTCTCTCATTTGTTTAGCCGAAAGCACTAGGAAGTAATGTGAAAGTTTACCATTTTCAGCCATTTAAATCTGTCTCTACACTGTGAGGTGTTATTACACATCTTTAACACAAGGACACAGTTTCCAAAAATTAGAGCTGCGACTTAAATTACTTTATTGATTGGTGATTTCCTGAGAACTGCCCCCTGCTGAACTAAGCTCTTCGCTTTAGGTCTGATCTAGCCTTATCTTGCCACTGTCTCCAAAGTCCCAAATGATCTCTGAGCTGTCTTGTTTTGAGACTTGAGATAAAAGCTCTCAGATTTTACACTGGGAGCTCTTGGTGTTTCCAGTGCCTGGCCTGGGAAGTACTTTTCCAATATTTAAGAAGTCACACTGGGTGTAGGCCAAATGCCCAGGCTCAGGGTTTCTCACCTTGGTTTCTGGGACCGGGTTGGATGAGAGAACCTGTAGCATTCTTGGGATTCCCTGTACCCCTTGCCCATTGGCCCCCAAACTTCAGGTTTGTCACTTGACACAGTCACAGCTGTAAAGTTTTTTGTTTTTTCTCCTCAGATAACATGTTCTGGTTCTCCATTAGCCTGCAGACCTAGGGGTGGGAGGTGGGTGGGAATGGCTCCTTTGTGTTCAATCCAGGCCCTCAGTTAGTGTGGTTGAGGACCAGCAGCATGAGCCTCACCTGGTTGCTCATTAGAAAAACAGGCCCTGCCCCAGACCCATCCAGTCAGGATCTGCATTTTGACAAATCTGGGCAATTTGTACACAGTGAAGTGTGAAAAGCACTGCATTAAGCTTACCCTGTTCTCATCTGGAGTGCCAAACCACTCTAATTGGGTCTCCTGGTCCTGGAGGAGTAAGGAGTCTTTCTCTTTTTTAAATCCCCTTCTTTCTGGTTTCTGGTTTGCATTGTCTAGACACCATGACTCCCCAATGTCTGGGTTCAGACACATAGAAGCTCCTCTCTGTCCTGACCCCTTCTGATGCCATTCCCGTGTTTGTTGAAGCAAACTACCTCTCATCCTTTAAGATGCACCTTGAAACTTCCACCTTGTTCTTTGCCTTCACTCCTAGCAGTTAGGAGTCCTTCCTTTGGGTTTCTTCACAATTTTTTAAATTTGCTTTTATAAATAATACTTTGATAAACATCCTTCTACATTAATCATTATTTATATCTGTTGTCTTCTTGAGATACATTCTGAGAGGTGAAATTCCTGGATTATGGCTTTTTTTTTTTTTTTTTTTTTTTTTTGAGATGGGGTCTTGCTCTGTTGCCCAGGCTGGAGTTCAGTGGCATGATCTCTGCTCACTAAGGCAGGAGTCTCGCTATGTTGCCTAGGCTAGTCCACAGACTCTTGGGCTCAAGCAGGAGTTGTGTCACTGAGCCCAGTTTGGAAGGATCATTCTTTACAAGGCACTCAATCTTGGCTGTCATTGAAATCACCTGGGAAACTAAGAAAAAAAAAAAAAAAAGAAAAAACAATCCTGACATCCGAGCCCCATTTTCAGAGATTCCAGTTTGGTTGGTTTGAGGTGCAGCCTGGGCATGAGATTTTTTGGTTTGTTTGCTTGCAGATAATATGTAGCTTTTCTGTTTTTCTATTAACTGATTTGATCATTTTCATGAGCACCCATACCTGCTGGATAGGGAGGAAATGATAACAATTAGATTTGTTAATAAAAGTGCCTATTAGAGCCGGGCGCGGTGGCTCAAGCCTGTAATCCCAGCACTTTGGGAGGCCGAGGCGGGTGGATCACGAGGTCGAGAGATCGAGACCATCCTGGTCAACATGGTGAAACCCCGTCTCTACTAAAGATACAAAAAAATTAGCTGGGCATGGTGGCACATGCCTGTAATCCCAGCTACTCAGGAGGCTGAGGCAGGAGAATTGCTTGAACCCAGGAGGCGGAGGTTGCGGTGAGCCGAGATCGCGCCATTGCACTCCAGCCTGGGTAACAAGAGTGAAACTCTGTCTCAAAAAGAAAAAAAAAAAAAAGTGCCTATTAGGTCTGTACTTAGCATCTCAACATAAGATTCTCGGTCCCTCAGATTACCTTTTTATTTATCTCCTCATCTCAGAGATGGCATTTGAAGAGTGGAGAAAAAAAGTACACAGGTCTGAAAAGACACAGATACAGACGTAGATACATGTAATACGATGTGACTGTCAGTGGGTAGGTATGTGTCTAGAAAGATACTGGCCAATGGGTTGGTGATATGGAGGATGAAGGGGTGGGATCCAGCCCTCCAGGACTAGCCATCTCCTTCCTTCCCAACCATCCTAGAAGCACAGACCTTTCCTCAGCAGATGGGTGAGCAGCAGAGAGGGGGCATTTGATTGATGATAATAATATAGCAACCAACAGCTGTACTGCACTAATAGCGCTTACTGTTTGCCTGGCACTGTCCTGAGCTGTTTCTACATGTAGCTCATTTAATCCTTCTAACAACTCAGGCTTGTAGGTTTTATTGTTATCTTCATCACCGTCAGGTAATCACTGGATGTGGTGATGGCACACCACTCTTGCTCCCAGGCACTGGACTTTTAAAAGTTCTTGTAAGAACTACGGTTTTACAGGGTTCCCATGCTGACTCCTCTTGTGCAGAGTTCTTTTGTAGACTAATCTGTTTTGGTAAGTGTGGCCTTTCATACTGTAGGTTCATGCAAAGCAAGTTGTACCTGTGGTGTCCACCTCTTCAGCCTTTATCTCAGCAGCCTCCTAGCTCCATTCATTGCGCCTATCCCGCTGTTCTGGATGTCACTCTGATCCTGAAAGTGGTGACCTTGGCAGACATTTGGTTCATTTCCTTCTCAGCACCTCCACCCACATCTAGTAACTATGACCGCTGACACTTTCCTAGACAAGTATGTTTTTCAGATGTTTGTTCTTTCCCGCTGCCACACCTTTCTAGGACAACATTGTCTAAAATCTAAACCTGAGTATCTCTAGCTTTTCCTGATGATAAGAATCACTTGCACCCACATTGGGAAACACCTGGGCCACCTCC